GCTGCCTACCTTGCGGCCCGCCTCGTTATTGTGCAAGTTCATGAGAGTCCGGGCGTTCTGCTTGATCTCGCGCGCATCCACAAAGACCTTGGCGAAGCCGATGCCGTAGCGGATGTCGGCGGAGCAGCCGCCCCACTTCCAGCCCTCCTCGCGGTGGTACTGGCCTTGCTTCTCCTTGTCGCAGCCGCAGTCGCTCAGGTTGCCCTGGGTGCAGGCGGCGGTGATGGCGTGGGCCACGCCTGCGGCGATGATGGCGTAGGTGAAGGCGGCCTCCCGGCTCCCTGAGGGGACAGAAGAGGGAGAGGTTCTGCGGGGGGTCTCGTGGCCGCCTGTCCCTGGGAAGGCGCCTGGGCGGGGCGGAGCCGCTGGCCAGAGCTCTGAGCTGAGTCCCTCCCTCGCTCTTGGGGCGGCAGAGAACAGGAGGCTTCATCCTTGCGCCTCCTGCGGTCCCCCTGCTCTGGTGCCCACGGCCCTCACTGCCACGTCCCCCGCCCTCCTAGGGCCAGCGTCGCCCGCTCCACAGAAATGGTCTGCGAGCAGCACCTGCACCGCAGCGTGGGGACCGTCCAGGCACTGCCGGGGTGTCGCAGGGGAGGCCCGGGAAGAGGCCTGAGCCAGGAGCAGATGCCGACGGCCGGCGCAGCCGGGCAGGCCAGCAGGGCCTGGAGAAAGTGTTTCTGGGTGCTGGGGTGGAGAGGCTTTAAGGGATACTGAAGAGAGAGGGAGGAGGAGGGCACCAGGGACGAGGGGGAGGCGGCTGCCGCTTGGCATCTGAGGCCGGTATATTCTCTCTCCACCCGCCTCACCGGGCTGCTGAGGCACAAGCCCCCAAATACTGCCCTCTGACGCAGACAGCTCCCCTGCCCCGGGGCCGGCTCTTCTCCAGTGCTCCATCCCTGCTAACACAGGGCCTCTGGGGTGCAGGACACTGAGGTCCCGTGCCAGCTCTGCTCCTTACTGTGCCCCGGGAGCCCCGGAGAGGGTAAGAGAGGGGACATGCCTGGTGACAGCCTCGACGAACGGCCCCACACGGGGCTCCCAGGAGCGAGGCTCCTCAGTGGATCCTTGACCTCTGGGACTCGCAAAGGGTGTGATTTGGGCACCTCCCCAGCCCCAGCTCTGCCGGTTTCCTTTCCTCGGTCTGCATGAGAGAGCAGCTGTGGGGAGCACGTGCCCGGCAGGGCGGGGACAGATGGCTGAGGACACCGTGGTGCCCGCACAGGGTGAACCCCGCTCTGCTGACAACCCAGGAATGCTTTGTCGTGTGAAATCAAGAAGGCAGACTCAGCCGGGCTCACAGGAGGACGCAGGCCCCTGTCACAGCCCTGTGAAGATGGAAGAGACAGCCTCGTGGGTCAGAGTGGAATGGGCCTCCTCACACTGCAGGGCTCTGCAAAGGGGGGCTGGTGTGAAGGGTGCAGGGCACAGCAGCCAGGTCTTGAGCTCTGCTGAAGCTGGAAAAGAAAGAGGACTTGGGCCGGGATGTAGCTCAGCGGTTCGGTGGGCTGCCTCGCAAGTGCAAGGACCCGAGTTCAATTCCCGGTACCAAAAAAACAAAAAAAAAAAAAAGAAGGAGCACTTGATGGCCAGGGTCCCCGGGCAGGGACACCCAGCAAAGGCCTGCACCCACCCTAGCTGGCTCAGTGACAAGCAAGGGGTGCGGCTCAGCAGAGGGGGGCGTGAGGGTGGGAGTTCATGGGCCGCGGGGACCTGTGGCCCTGTTCCTACCTTGGCCCACACTGAAAGCTCAAGCCCATCCCCCTGCATGCTGCTGGGGTGCACAGACCCCAGGAGGGGCCAGGAGAATGCGCCCACCTGCCCTGGGCACCCGTTCATACTCCAGAGGACAAACCCTGGGGGTGGTGCCAACAAATGCCCAGTAGCTAAGCACTTAGAACCCGGCCCCAAACCCCAGCTGTGGCACTGTGTGGAGGCCACTGATAGCTGCTCCTCCTCGTAAGAGAGGAGGCTGAAGGCAAAGACAGGTCTTCATGTCTCCTCATTTACAGAGGAAGAAACTGAAGCCAGGAGAAAGGGCTGCCCTGTCCAGGGCACCCAGCTGGCAGGCGGCCGAGCCGAGCTGCACCCTGATCGGACCTAGGCCCCCATAGAGACCGAGGAGTGTCTCACTCCGGGGATTTTAGGACTCCACGGTGCAGAGCGGAGGAGGGCAGGGACCCCAGGCCTGAGACCTGTCTGTCTTCCAGGCTTCAGTCTCAGCTTTGCACACACCCCCTCCACTACTCCGCAGGTCACCACCCCTGTCCCCAGCACACCCCGGTCGCACTGCTCTGAATTCCAGGTGGGCTCCCAGGGCCCCGGGCCTCCCCTCTCTGTCACATGGATCTTCCCCACAGCACCTGCTTGCTGAGCGAAGCGGGAAGTCACTCCTGGCTTCAGAGCCCCCAGGGGCCCAGGTATGGAAGGGACACTGGCTTTGTCCACCGACTTTAGACAGGGGCTGTCTGGACCCACTGCTGCCACTGGGCGATGTGACTGACCTGGCCTGCGCGCCTCTTTGAGACGCTGTCGCTCTCTCTGTGACGTGGACACACGGCAGGAACTAGCGTCACAGGCCTGGGAGAAGGGGAGGGTGAGCACCAGGCAGGCAAGAGGAAGTGTTCCAGAAGTGCCCAGGCTGTGCCCGCCTGCTCAGACCACTGCAGGTGCACAGGGGACGGGAGCCACGCTGCCTTGCTCACCCACCTCCACCACGAGTGAGGGACAAAAGGACGACACGGACCTGAGTTCCCATGTCAACCCTGCTTCTGGAACTGGGGGACCTTGGGCAAGTCATGAACTTTGCTGAGCCTGTTTCCCCATCTGTAAATAAGTCCAACCCTAGGGAGAAGGAGATGGCACCTGCCACACAGGAGGTGTTGAAATAAGCAGCGGTGATTGACACAGTTGGTACAACCCATGAACCCTTTCGGTCTTACGCTCCTGACTCTCTGGACTCTGCACAGCCGTGCGGAAGAGGGTGCTCTCTATCCTCAGGGACACAGCTCCTTGAGGAGTTAATAACAGTGCCCCACTGTGCGGCGAGGGGACTGAGGCTCAGAGCAGCCTAGCCAGGCTGGTGTGGAGCCCAAGATGAACCCCAACCTCTCCTCCCAGCCCCCACCCGGTGCCAGCTGCTGGCCAGAGGACGAGAGGGCTCAGGAGTGTGGGAGGGACAGGATAGAGAGGAAGGAACGTTCACTGAGCACCTACTGGAGGCCAGGCTCACAGTGGGCTCTGCACTGAGGCCTGTCGCACCCCCAGTGGTGGACACTGCTCTCCACAACTTCGCATCTGGGGAAATGGGCTCTTGGGGGGGAAAGTGACTCACTGATGCTCCCCATTTAGAACCCACCCGACCTGGTGTTCAGGGCCCATGCGGGGCAGCAGCTCTGTTGTTGGCCGTCTCTGCATCTGGAAGCCCATGGCTGGAGTCGGAAGGGGTCCTTCGGGGGACGGTGCCCACTCTTGTCCAGAAGTGGTGTTCGGTGCCCAGTTCTAGCTCACCGAGAAAGGACTAGCTGGGCCCTGCCAAGCAGGACGGCTGGCTGAGCTGAGAGTGCAGTGTACAGTGGAGAGGGAGTGGACAGGAACCCGAGACCCTAAGACCTGCCTGTGGGGGTACAGGCATAGTTGACTCCATCCAGCCCGTCCTTCACCAGGCAGATGGGGAGGGGAAACCAAGGCTCAGAGAAGTCAGGTGATTCCTGGGCAGAGCTAGGGTGCCAACCTGAGGCACAGGGGTCTCGGCCTACTCAGAGACGCCCCGGGCCTGACCACCCACACTGCTCCCAGCTGGCCCCTCTTGGCCCCTGCCACACTATGAGGTTGGACTGTTACGGTCTCCACTTTGCAGATGTTCATACTGACGCCAGAAATGTGCCACGGCCTGCAAGGACTCAAGTGGGACAGCCCAGGTCGGAGTCTGACCTGCTCTTACCTGCCTGCCCCAAGGTCCTGGAGCCCCTTCCAGTCCCACCAATTTCCTGCCCACATTCTTTCCCAGATCCTCCCACAGGCTGGTGAGGGACTCTGGGCTCTGAGGGTGCTGTGTACCCCCAGGAATGGCTGCCTCCCTCCCCCTCCCGGGCACAGAGGAAGATTCCCCCACCTTAGGGACCAAGCACATGACCCGTCCCTTCTCTCAGCTCCTACTGTGTTGGAGATTGGGAAAGCACACCGGAACTCTGCCACAGCGGGGTGGCAGGGACAGTGGCCCCGAGAGGTGTGACCTGCAGTGGACAGGTGAGGCAGGGGGCCGGAGACAAAGCCAGGCTCTGGATGTGGGGAGCAGTGGGCCCTGCGTTCCTGCCATCCTGCCTGGGCAGAGGCCCCTGCTATCCTCCGAGTCAGAGGACCGATCCAGAGGACAGATGACAAGGGGCCCCTCCTGGAGTGACAGTTTCCGCAGTGACTCAGGAGGACCAGGACTGGACTCAGGGTCTCAAGCTGCGGGGTGGCATCCTTGCCCTCCCCACAACCACGCCTTCCTCAACTCCCAGCCCACCGCCTGCCCGGGTCAAGTTTCATGTAGAAGCTTGGGGCACTGCCCAGTGAGACACCTGGGTGACGGCAGCTCAGAGCTGGGTAAGAGGGAGCTTGTCAGTCCCTCCTCTCCATCCTGAGCATGCCCTCTCCTCCGCCTCCCTGAGCCTCTGCCAACCCATCTGTGAAATGGCACTCCAGGCTCACTGCCAAGCTACTCTGAGGACCCCACAAGACCTCCGAATCCAGCGCCCCAGAAGGTGGCAGCTAAAGAGTGGCACGTGTTATCACGGAGGCAAAAGTGGGGCCCAGCCGACGCCCTGTGTTCCAGCTCCATGATGATCCCAGTGGGGACAGAGGAAACGAACGATGTCCAAGCCTGCCTGAAAGATTCCGCTCCACCGCCCTGAAAATGGCTCACACTGGAATATTATCTGGGCATATTTACGGTATCTTACTGGAAACCACAGTGCATTGTGTTGTGTTTTTTTCTCATTTGCTATTTAAAGCCAGTGGGTCAGAGAGCAAGCAATCAGTGGTGACACAGGCTGAAATATGTGATGATTTGGAAAATATACAGATGGAAAAAGGTTACCCATGCCAGCCCCGTGCCAGGGCAGTTCCCTGGCCGTGTGGGTTCAAAAGGCCACACGTGGCCATCCACGTCCAGAGGGAGCCTCTCGAGGTACAACTGGAAGATCTGGGGGCACAGGGGCATTTGTCTGGGCTGAGCCTGGTGAGGTGACAGCCCCAGAGACAGGAACTCGGGGACAGAGTGTGCCAGTCCCCAGGCCCT